CCAAGGCTGCTTCAAGTAAGAAGTTAGAAGAAGACCTATGCAAGTTGGGAATGACAAACATCTATTTCCAACTTGAGGGGAGTGTAGGAAAATGTGGACCCCACATTAGTGTACTCGTGTGACAACCTGAGTTGTACTTAGATTTAATTAAGTCATTGATTAGGATCAGCTTTCCTAGTAGGATTAGTTTTAATCTTATTCTATCTTATCTAGGATTAGTTTTTAATTATCTTATCTTGCCATGTAAGCATTAAGTTCTTTTACAATTAGGAAACTATGTATATAAATTCAAAGGGTGGGGCGGCTGTTTTAACACAACAACCACTCTCTTCTCTCAAAAGTCCTTCCACGAGTTCTCCCTCTCTATCTCTCTTCTTCTCTTCTCCTCTTCTCTTCCTTTCTTTTATTTTCCGTTCAAAATCTAAAGAATATCTATAGTCTTGTACGACTACTCATATCACAAGTATTAATTTATCCAAGGAAAATTTCCCAACAAAAGGTTTTAACTTTAAGTAGAATAGGTTACACCAAATCTCTTTCACCAGGATGTTTACCCCTAAAAAGTAGGCAAGTTAGGATGCTGAAAATAGAAGAGCAACTGAATAGACCATCAAGAGAGGTGACCAAATTCTAGAGTCTTCAAGATTTTCATCCAGAAACAAAGTATGTAAGAGTCCTAGTAGGTCCAACTTGCACCAAATCCAATTCTAGATAGAATCTCTAGTAAGAAATTCCAATCAACTAAATCAAAGCCTTTTCTAGGTCCAACTTACATACTAGACCCTTCTCACCACCCCTTCTTTTCTTTGTAACATTCTCATTGGCCACCAAGATTTGATTAATAGTTTGTCTTCCTTCCACAAAAGCTCCTTGAAATGGAGAGATTGTTGAGGGTAAGAGGACCAATTTTAGTCTTTTAGATAGAACCTTTGAGATAATTTTAAAAAGGCTCCCAATCAAACTTATTGGCCTATAATTCTTTGGGTCTTTGGTTCCTTCTTTGGCACCAAGGAAATAAAAGTGGTATTAGTCCCTGACTCCCTGGAGAGATCTCTTCTTCAAGATGGAATTTCTCAAAGAAAGGTTTTGGGGAGAAGAAGAGGTGGACAATCTTGCGGAGGACCTTGGTTATTTGGGTGGAAATTGATCATTCCCGGTAACCTTGCGAGTTTAATTCACTCTTGGCTGACTAGAGGTTTCAATTAAAAAAAAACAAGTAAAAAAGGAACTCTATGGAACTTCGCTCCCTTTGCTATTTGTTGGCACATCTGCAAGGAGAAAAACAAAAGCATCTTCCAAGGGAGCAGAAAAAGGCCCAAAGGCTGATTGTAAAGATTGAAAAAACATTTTTTTTTCATGGGCACCATTTTGAAGGAATTAAACGGTCTTTCTTTTTCTAACTTTTGCAACCATTGGGTGAACATTACATGTAATCCTTAGTTAGGGTTGTAATTGTATCCTTGGCTCTAGCTTTTTGTTTCTCTTTTTTACTACCTTTTATCAATATAATCCTTTATAAAAAAACAAGACTTGGTGAAGAAATATTAATGGAAAAAAGCATATAGGCCACTCTTTATTTTATTGATTGCATCTAGATCACTTATGTCATTTTTTTTTGAAGCAAAAGTAACTTTTTATTGAAGAAGAAAAAACATAAGTACATGAGAAGATGTACTAAAGCCAAGAGTGGCTTGGTAGGATTACAAAGGCAAACAAATGTCACTAAACAAGAAATCTCTAGAGACCCCTGATTTTTCTAGGTTATCAGCAACAGAATTTTGCTCCCTAGGAATCCAAATCAGCTTCACATTCATAGAGCCTAAGATATCCCTGGCTTCAGCTAAGAAGTGGGCTTAGTCTCCAGGGCCCTCCCTTCTCCTGTAACCAAGCTATAGTATTTGCAAGGCGAATTCTTGTGTGTAGCCAGGACCTCTGCCTTTGTGGCATCTGCCCACCCAATCGGACTACTGTAACCCCAACAAATATTCCTCCCCTTTTCCCTCGGACTACACATCCAATTTCTGCTTGACCTGTCGATCCTTGGGCGCTACCATCAAAGTTTAGAGTCATTTCTCCTCCTTCTCTAATAGACCGTCTCATAGTCCACTCAGATCTTGGAGAGGAGTGTAGGATTTCTAGAAGGTTGCTCTGGAGATCATTTAGGGAGAGACCTTTGAACCCTTCAGAATTGATTACCCAAAGGTTGCAGAGATATGTGATGTAGGAAGTTAAATCTTCAACATTTCCAGTTTTATTTTCAAAAGTTCTATTGTTCCTTTCTTCCCAAATGCCCCACAAGACTGCATGGGTCGCTGTATTCCAGTAAAATCTTCCTCTTTTTCCTAGCCCTCTGCCTTGCCATTGCCACAAGATGTCCACCACCCTCTCCGGGAACACCCAGCTGTAACCAACTAGGTTTAGGAAGAAGCACCAAATCTTCCTAGTGACTAGGAAATGGAGAAGGATGTGATCGGTTGTCTCCCCACCGCCAAGGCAAAGAGGACAGACATGAGGGCAGATGCATAATCTGCCTTCAAACTTTTTCTGAATCAACTCGCAGGTGTTTATTCTCTTTAAACAGGCTTCCCACACGAAGGAGACTCTACGGGGGGATGTGTAATCTCCAAACTTTCTTAGCCAGAAAGGGAGGCCCCTGATCTTCTGACACTAGAGCCTTGAAAAAGGAGTTAGTGGAGAACTTGCCGGTGGGATTAAGTTTCCAGATTCTCTGGTCAGGGGTATCAAGAGAGATGTAAGCCTCATTAAGAGAGTTTAGCAAACTAGCTATATCAGCAATTTCTATTTCTCCTAAAGACCTTCTGAGGTTTAGATTCCAAGTTGTTTCCCGAGGGTGAGGGGTTAAGGCTAGAGACTACTGTGGCTTCTTTGGATTGGGACAGGATAAAGATTCTAGGGTAGGAATTAGCAAGGGTGTCCTCTCCCCACCACATAACAGTCCAAAATTTGATTCCATTTCCATTCCTCACCTGATATCTAACAGAACCAAAAAAGAGGTCATAGATAGAAGCAATACCTTTCCAAGGGTTAGAGGCTTTGACCTGGTTCAAGTGAACCTTGCTATCCCAACCATTGGCATGCCTCCCATACTTTCTCTTGATAATTTTTGTCCACAACGCTTCCATCTCTAAGGGATACCTCCATAGCCATTTTCCAAGAAGGGCCAAGTTCCTTTCATTGATATGACCTAGTCCCAATCCACCAACTTCCTTTGCCCTGCAAACCTGATTCCAGCCTACTAGATGACACTTCTTTTCACCACCCCCTTCCCATAGGAAATCCCGCTATAGCTTTTCAATTGAATTTTAGATGACACTTATATTATTTAAATTGAATTTTAGCAAAGTGATGTTAACAGAGACAACTTGCTATGAAAAGCAATCACTTACTTTACACAACATCTAACTTTCTATGGAGATTATTCAAGTTCTTGATAAAGACCTTTACCTGAGACCGAAGGACTTCTTTGTACGTTCCAATTTCTCTCAAAGCAATTGTAAATTTGGTCATAACAGGACCTAAAAGAAATAAGATTTATCAACCCTCAAGGTAAAGTAAGCATAATTCCATGAAAGCAAGTGGCCAAAAATATCTTTTTCAAATCAAAAACATATCCAATTTCAGAAGTAAAATAGTTTCAACAAATTCTTTGATAAAATGGCAAGTATATATTATGTTATGATTTAACAAAAAGGGGAAGAGCATGGAGAGAATGCCATGTAATTGATAGGGATGCAACTCGAGTGGGTTCAGTTGTGTTGAAGCTTAACCCAGGCCCAACTCTAAAGGTTCAAACCTCAGGCTTAGGCTGGGTGAGGCTGGCCTTAGTCAGCCTTTGCGCAGGTTGGTCAGGTTTGAAAGAATTTATGAATATATTTTTATATGGCCATCTTTGTGGTTTTGTGGGTAGTAGAATTGCTTGGAAATATGTGCAAATTTCATTTACAAAGGTATACATATTTATACATATGCATGTATACATAATTTGGAAAAACGATATTTTTATATAAATGAAATGCATGTATGTACGTATGTATGTATTTGTTCAGGTGGGCCCAGGTTGGATCTGGCCAGGCTCAGGTTGGGACTGCTCAAGTTGCAGCCCTAGTAACCAGTGCATACCAATGATACTAAAAGGAAAATATTCTACAACAGCTATAAAAACAGCAATTATATATGGAACAGAGTGCTGCAATCAAGAAACAGCACATTCAGAAAAAGTGGGAAAGTTGAAGGGATGACATATGAGTAACCAAAATTGGTGATGTGATGAAGGAAAGTAGAATGAATCAATGAAGCATACTTCTTTGATTAGTTTCAGTTGAGGCCGATCTCCAATATAATGGATTGGGTTCTTAATGGAATCAGATCAGATTAATGCCTGGTCCCTTATCAGCCTTAATCTTATTCATCTGGATCATGAGATCAGAAAACAATTCGGCTGATGGTTTAAGTGTTTAACCAGATCTAGAATGGACGGAACAGCATTATATTGGGAGCATCATTTTATAAGGGCAGGTTGTGGTGTACATTTATGGGATTGATTTATTGAGATATTCTTCTATGAAGAACAGTAAGCACTTAAGCACTTAAGCAACAGTTACAAGGGTAGGCAAACATTCAAGCACACAAGGAGTTGACAAACTCCCTCTAATGAAGGCAATTCCATAGACACAAGTTACAAGAATGATGCTAACCTCCAAAAGCCACACTAATAGGATCATTATGCCCTCCTCCAAATGTTTCAAGGGCACTAGCAAAAGCGATGTCTCCATCATATGCTTCTCCAAGCCCTTCTCTGCATGTTAAAAACAAAATGCCAGTGAAAATCCTCACAATAAAAATGCCTATAAGAAAATAGACTAACTTCAATGAATGAAGTCACAAGGAATGTGTATTGTTTTGTATTATTTATATTAATCTAGTGAAATTTCAATAGATAACCATTACAACATGCCAAAGCAGGGAGAGTTGTTTCTTTAGTTTACAAGTTTTATAAATACGGAGCAGGTTTGCAAGTTAAGTCATTTAGTGAGCTTCCCTGCATAACCCAGAAACCTCCCATGTGGCAGATTAATTTGGAACCCAAAAGGAATCCACGAATTAATTATATTCCACCCTTTACTCATGGAAAAAATGGCCCAAATACTTTGCCATATGTGTAAATTATGTCTGTTTACTCGATTTTTTTAATTAAATAAAAAATACATAATTAGATTATAGTAAAATAAATGGTATACTAGCAAATGACCCTGTGCTCACCATGGGAAGAATTATTTCTTTGGTTTATAAGCTTTATAAAGAAATAAATAATAAGTTTATAAGAATCACTTTATTCAAGAATTTTGCTCAATTTGTTGAGATAAATAAGAAAATGCGTAACTATAGTAGGATAAAAAATCTATGCTTTAACTGGATTTGATCAATTCAATCCAATTGCATGGAAAATCTAACACAATTCAACAAACAACAGAATTCTTAGGTTTCTACCAATTTGACATTCATGTATATATGTTCGAACAATTGCAAATTTGCAACTAACCTAATGGGGTCATTAGGATGGTGGAAAAACAACCTCTGACATCTATAGACTACCTTACAAATCAATCTAACCATGTTGACTTTTGGAAAAGAAGGAGATTCAGAACAAACTTCACAAGCTTCCTTTGCCCCCCTCCCCCCCAATTCAGTTACTGACTTTCTAAATCAATGGCCAGGAGACTCGATGAAAGGGGTGTTGTGCTTGGGAAGGATGTTTGTCTTGCTACAATGTGGTGCATTTGGGAGGAACGTACTAAGAAAGTTTTTGAAGACAAAAGTACAAATCTAGAAGGCTTTAAAGGGAGAATTACACTCTAGTTTCCTCCTGGATGCTGGCACAAACTCTTTAGAGGTGCTGCAATCCCCCAGTTTCACTCCTGTCCACACAAAAAGATTACTTCTCAGGCCTCCCACACAGTTTATTCTCCAGTTTGATGGCAGCAGTTGAAGCCAAAGAAATTGTAGGGATGAAGCTGGTATTGGGAATCAGAATTTGAGAGCTAATGGTGATCTGATCTGGGCCTTTAGTGGGTCAATTGGTGTGTGGTAAGATCTCTTAATCCTCTGGTTCAGAATTTACTACAGGAAGCTATACAGTAACAGAAATAAAAGCAAGAGAAGAGTAGAGAGAAGGGAAGAAAAGATAAAGGGAAGGGAGGAGAAAATTAGGGTAAACTTTCCATGCTCATATCTCCATCAACAGTTTATTTATACTCTTCCTTACATTCGGTTTCTCGTGCCTGCAAGCGCATATACTCTGTAACTAACTGCTGGGTGACATGGCTTTCCTAGTATAGACATACTTGATTGGGGGTTTGTAGGCTTCAACTTGATCTGGCTGTGCTGGGCTTGCAATCTGGGCCTGTCTTGCTCAAATCTGCATTCATAACAGCTCCATCCCCCTTAAGATCAACCTTGATGTCAAGGTTAAGACGTGGAAAGAGGTCCTGTAACTTCTTGTAGTCTTCCCATGAAGCATCTTCTGGGGATAATCCCTTCCAAAGTACTAATGCCTGTCGTATCACCTTCCGTCCCTGTCTAATCCAGTGGAACTCAGTAATGAGATGAGGTTCAGTAAGAAGTTCAGCTTCTTCCAATAGCTCAGGGAGTGTTGGTGTGACCGTTAATGGGGAGTCCAATGTATGTCTTGAGGAGAGATACATGAAATACGGGGTGTAGCTTGGAGGAAGAAGGAAGATCCAGCCTGTAAGCCACAGAGCCCACCTTTTCAATCACCTTGAATGGGCCAAAAAAAAATCTTGGTGCTAGCTTCTGGTGAGCCCTCCTTGCTATGGATACCTGTCTATAAGGCTGCAACTTGAGGTAAACCTGGTCTCCCACCAAGAATTCAAGATCCCTATGCTTCCTGTCATATGAGGATTTCATTCTCTGTTGTGATCACTGCAAGTGGCACTTAAGTGACTTCAAAATTTCATCTTGAGCTGTCAAATGGGCATCAATTTCGGCCACTGTCACTGATCCCTTTTCATAAGGTAATATTTGTCGTGGGTCCCTGCTGTATAGGATCTTGAATGGAGTAGTGCCGACTGAGGTGTGAAATGAAGTATTGTACCTGTTTTAACATGTGGTGTCCCTGTAAGGGCATTCTTGGTTTTTTCCATGATATTTGTTATAAGCTGTCACCCTAAGTACAAATATTAACTTAGGGTGCCACCAGCCTTACAAATAATACAGAACATTTTCTTCTTCTCTCTTCCCTCTCTCTTCCTTTTCTTCTCCTTCTTTTCTCTTTTATTTCTGTCGATCTACATGGTATTAGAGCGCTGATCTGATCTGGGCGCAACCTTCTCAGATCGTGTTCTTCATTTGAGATTTTTTTTGATTGGAAGAGGACATGAAGACCTCATTGTGTTCTTCTTCTGGGTGCAACCTTCAGCCCTTGTTTCTTTCTCTTCTCTCTTGGTCGCTGTACCAAGAAGTCTGTGGTGGCAGACGAATGCAGTAAAGTGCTTTTTTAGATCTGCGGTGGCAACCGAATGCAGTAAGGAGTTTTCTCCTAAGGGTTTTCTATGAACTGTAGGTCGTGGAAGCCAGGTATGTACTGTTACATTCATATCTAAATGTATGACCACTGTGAATGTCACAGTTTTGAGGTTGTAGGGGCTGGTTGTCTCCTTCTCTTATAAGCTGAAGTGATTCGGCTGAGGTTTATTGACCTACAGTCTGGCTAAAGCTATATTTGGAGCCTTTTGTCAAACTACAGAAGTACAAACCTTATATCTCAGATTTCTTTTTGAAAAAAAAAAAAAAAAAATCAGCAGTTAAGTGTGAGAAAAAATGGCTACTGAGGATTCAGCAACCTCTAGCATTACTTCCCATCAAGGAAACCTAAACGGGGGAATGGACAGCATGAATTTCTCTACGTCTATTACCCCCTTTGATGGCCTAAATTATCTGGAATGGTCCAAAGGCATCAAGCTGTACATCACAGCTAGGGGGAAGGCTGGTTACATAAGTGGAAAAATAAAAGAACCAAAGTCCGGGACTGCTGAACATGATCGATGGGATCAAGAAAACAGCATGGTTATGTCATGGTTGTTAGGTTCCATGCTACCTCATGTAAAGAAAAATTTCATATGGGCTGACACAGCTTGTGAAATTTGGGAACAAGCCAAGGCAACCTATTCTGAACAGAGGCACTTTGCCAAAATTTATCAGCTTCAAGCAGAATCATCTAACTTGTAAGCAAGGGGACCGTAGCCTATCTACATATTATTCAGCCCTTACATCTGTCTGGAAGGAGCTAGACTATTATCAGACTATTGAGTGGAAAAATGATGAGGATGCACAAGCATACAAAAAACTTGTCTCCCACCAAAGAGTATTTGCATTCTTGCATGGGCTGAATCCTGCTTACGAGCCTCTCCGAGTGCAGATTTTAGGAAACAAGGAACTTCCTTCAGTTAAGTATATGCCCTAGTCCAATATGAACAGAGCAGGAATTCATCAAAAAATATATATATATGAAGAGAGCAGGAAAAATCTAATGAATGTTTCTGAGGGGGAGCAACCTGTTGCCCTAGCTGCAAGAGGAGGTAACATCAGAATGAAAAAGGGAGAATCAAGGAAAAGTGAGGACAAGGACAAACTGTGGTGCACGCACTGTCAAAAGCCTAGACACACTCGAGAAACATGTTGGGAGTTAGTGGGGAAGCTCAAGTGGGCAACCAAGAATCAAGAAACTTAAAAGAAACCTCCTCAGAAGAAATTTACTTCTGCAAATCTGGCTGCACAAGATTACCAACCAAATAATTTGCCGATTGGACTTTCCCAAGAGCATCCTAATGGTTATGATCCCAAGGAAGACATCATTAACTCCTTCAGAGATCATTTGGAACTGTATGGTAGGACTCTCGGGCAGATGGATAGGTCGGTTCCTACCCCCTCTACTTCATCTGCTTCTACATTTCATGTGTGTACCTCTGCTCCCGAGTCACCTTGGACCATTGACTCAGGGGCATTGAACCATATGACTAGTAAGTCAAATTTATTTCAAACCTACACTCTTCTCTCTGGAAGGGATAAAGTGAGACTTGCTGATGGGTCTCTGTGGAAAAATAAAGAGGAAGAGAAGAAGAAATGAAGAGGGAGAGAAGAAGAAATACTTCTGTATTGATAATGTGTTGATAAAACATGTTGAGCATACAACTTAAATAAGAAAAGAAAGGAGAGACAAACTCCTAGGATCTCTCTCAATTACTCCTAGAATCTCTCTCAATTAGGGATTGATTAAATCTTTCCCTTAATCCTCGGATATGACTTTCCTAATTTTATTCAAATCTAATCTTTCCTAAATTTATTCAAATCTGTAATCAAATCAAATCTGTAATCAATCAAATCAAATCTTTCTAAATTTGCAGCAAATCATATCTTTCTTAATTTGCCGCAAATCATATCTTGCCGACAATCTCTATCCACTATTGTTGGTCAGGGATCTGTATCCCTTCCTGATGGCCTTGTTTTACCCAATACCTTTCATGTTCTCAAACTTCCTATAAATTTGTTATTAATAAGCAGTATTACTCAATCCTTAAACTATTTTGTAACCTTTTTTCCTCATTCTTGTGTGTCCCAGGATTTAACCTTGGGGAGGACAATTGGTAAAGGAGATATGGTTGACGGCCTCTACATCTTGGAGAATAAAGCTGGTCCTGCGGCATCAACTCTAGTGAGTCTTATGAGTCAGTCTACAAAAAGTCAGTTGTGGTTGTGGCATAATCGCCTTGGTCATTTGTC